TTTAGAATCAATCTGTAGTTTAAGCATGAAAGAATTTTTTTTTTTTTTTTGATGTTAGTGCTTTCTGGGGCCTATCTAAAAAAAATCTGCACCCTCACTAAAATTGTGAAGATTTTCTCTTGTTTTCGTCTAGAAGTTTTACAGTTTTTTAGCTTTTATGTTGAGGCCTGTGATCCACTTCAAGTTAGTTTTTGTATATGATATAAAGTAAGGTTGGGGTTGATTTTTTCCCCTATAGATACTCAGTTGTTCCAAGAAAATTGTTACTGGACATTATCTTGAAAAGAATTCCTTAAACAAACAAACAAAAAAACCTCAAACCCACTGCCATTGAGTCTATTCTGACTCATAGTGATCCTGCAGGACAGAACAGAACTGCCCCACAGGGTTTCCAAGGCTGTTGATTTAGGAAATAATATTGGAGCTATTATTCCCTGTCCTTGAGCATAGAAAATGTGACCCAGCTGGAGCTGGGCCCACAAGGACTCACAAGAACACATCAACTGGGCCCTGAGGTATAAAGACAATAGCTAAGATAATCTTGGAAAATATCTTTTAGGGAAACTTTCATATAAAGCCAGTCAAACAGAACACAAAAGACTTTCTACTCTTTTTCTATTAGCATTTAGTGAATAGAAATTTGCTGGACCAATGAAGACCCTCCTGACTGTTGTTACTGAAACCTGTACCAGTGATTGTTAAGAAAGACAATTCAAAATGTACGATCACAGTTTCTAGCCAATCTGAAAAGGCTAATCTTTCAATGGTTTTGCCCATTTGTAATGTTAATATATACTGATGGCTCTGTAAAGGTTCCTTGGACTCGGGCCGACATGGCTGTGGCGGCACGCTTGTCCGTTTTCCCACTCTCACCTATTCTGTAATATTCTTTGGACTCGGGCAGACATGGCTGTGGCGGCATGCTTGTCCGTTTTCCCACTCTCGCCTATTCTGTAATATTCTTTGGACTTGGGCCGACATGGCTGTGGCGGCATGCTTGTCCCTTTTCCCATTCTTGCCTATTCTGTAATATTCTTTGGACTTGGGCCGACATGGCTGTGGCGGCATGCTTGTCCCCTTCTCACTTCTGTCCTTTTGAATATATGCCGAATAAAACTTTCTTTTTGCTTTATTAAACTTTGTGATGTTCTTCCCCTACAACACTGTAATCTTTACAGAAGCAGATTGCCACATATTTTGCCCTTTGTCAAAACTTAATTAATCAAATATGTACAGTTATGTTTCTAGACTATTTCATCCAACTAATCTATATGTCTATCCTCACCAACAGCATATTAAATTTTATAATACCATATTTTTATGCAAATAAAGCACAACTTCTACATTTGTTTGCCAACCGTGCCCTCCCCCTTCAAGGTATTTTAGCAAGTGCACTATGCTAATTTTTTTTTTTTACAGCAACATGTATAAAAAAGCTGGCATAATGGTGCATATGAAAATACGGGGGGGGGGCATGTTGGCAAACAAACACAGAAGGTGTGTGTTATTTGCATAAAAATACTTTAAGTCTTGAAAGCAGGTTGCATAAGTCCTCTGACCTTGTTCTCCTTTTTTCAAAAGGTTTGACTCTTCTAGGTCCTCTGCATGTCCATGTAAATCGTTCAATCTGTTTATTAATTTCTAAAAAACCTGCTGGAACTTTGGTGGGGACAGCAACGAATCAACACACTAAGAGTGTTTTAAAGTCTCTGTCTACTGAGTACATAATCTCTGTCATGTTTCTATTTATTAATTTTTCTCCTGGTTATGGGTCACACTTTCCAGTTTGTTGGTATGTCTAGTAATTTTTCATTAGATGCTGGCTGTTGTGGAGTTAGGTTGCTGAGTATCTGTATGTTGCTATCCTCCTTTAGAGAGCGTGAGCTTTGTCTGGCAGGCAGGTAATTTACTTCGGGTTCAGCTTGATCTTTTTAAGCTGGTTGGGAGTGGGAGGGTCTATAGTAGCCTTTACTCTAGAGTTGGTTTAGTACTATTTCTAAACTGTGCCCATTCTGGGGTCCCTACTGAACGCCCTGGTGTTCAACAAGGTTTCTCAATTCTGGCTGGTCAAAATTTGAACCTCTCCCAGCCGTCTAGAAGCACTGGGAATTGTTGTTCATCTTATAAGCTTGCAGGCAGCATTCCTTTCCGAACTTAGGGAGTTGCACCTTTCACATGGACAGGTTAGTATTCAGCTAAATTCATGGATCTCCTATGCAGATTTCTATGGCTCATTCTCTGTCTATCTCTCTTCCCTACAGCACTGCGCCCAGCAAATTCCAGCTACTTCAGCATTCCAAAATTCCACTCTGTTTCCTCAATTCAGTGAGACTGCAGTGCTCTGCTTAGGACCCTCTTCTCTTCCCTTCACCAAGGTCCAGAAACCGTGCTATCATACTGCACAACTAATCCGTGTCTGTCTCTCTAGAGTCACAGTCTTGCACTGTCTGTTGTCCAGTACCTGTAAAGAGCTGTTTTACATATTTTTTCCAGGTTTCTGGTTGTTTTTAGTGAGAGGGCTAGTCCCGTACCAGCAACTACACTATGGCAGAAGTAAAGGCTCATCATGGTATATTTTTTAAAGTTACATTTTATGGATTTGTTTTGTTTTGTTTTTGCTAGCTGGAGATAATGAGTTATTCTGGTATATTATCTTGCATCTAGCAACCTTGCTAAAGTCCCTTAATTATAATAAATTATCTTTAGATTCTCTTGTCGTTTTCCACATAGATAATTATATCAACTGTTAATAACAGCAGTTTTGCTCTTTCTCTTGCAATCCTCATATTTTTGTTTTTGTTGTTGTTGGTTGGTTTGTTGTTTTGTTTGCTGTTCTGGCCGGGACATCTAATACAATGCTGATAAAAATATTGATAGTGAGTACTTGTGTCTGTTTGCTATATTAAAAGGTATGCTTATACAACAACAGTATTTAGTTTGAGTGTGGGAATTTAAGTGTTCTATTATCCTCATATTGTGGAAGAGTATAAAGCTATAGAATAAGTTCAGACTTTGACAAGTTAAACATGCATGGTATGATTCCAAGGTAAATGATAAAATATCAGAAATAAAGTGTTTCCTATCCAAATCAGTAAAGAGAAGACAATATACATAGAGTTTTCAGGGCCATTCATTTTCTTCTTATACTTGGAGTTAATGATCAGAAACTCACCAGTAGGTATTAGAAAAATAAACACATTTTAATGTTGGCATTAAGAACTATTAAGAAAGATGACTAACACCTTTGCTGAAAATATTTTGGCAGCATCTACTAAAATAAAATTACACCTACTCTTTATCCAACAAGCTTCACATTTTAAATAAATTTTTGTATAATAAAAATGATTTTTGGATCCTGTGTATGCTTTTTTGGGTTATCCTACTACTGCTTTACTTAATGACCACTGAATCAATGAGTACTAAATCCATTCAAAAAATATATATGTATCACAAAAAGACTATACTTACGCTACAGTAATGCAAGCTTCTCTAACCACCTGGGATCTCAGATCCTTAGCCGAAAGCTTAAGTGCACCGTCCAACAAGCGCAAATGCTGGAAAAAGCAATCATATTGTGCAGCTCCAGCAACAAGCAATGACCGAATTTTCTTAAGCTGAAACAAAGAGAATTTTCATTATTGACATAAAAGGTGGCAACACCAAAAAGAAAGGGGGGGTGGAAGTAACCTAGACAAAATTTTAAAAAATTAAATGTAACACATACAATGCTTTTGTATATTTATATTCGGACACCCTGGTAGCAGTAAATCTTACAAATAAATGATACAAACCAAAAAGAAAAGCTTTCTGGAAAAGAATATTCTAGATTTAGTTATATGCACAACAGACACGTGTACTGTATTAGTTGATAAGTAAGTTCAAGTTTTAAGGGAGTCATCTTTTATTGTTGTAAAGTACACACAGCATAACTTTACCATTTTCACCATTTTAAAACATACAATTCAGTGGCATTAAGTATATTCACAGTGTCACGTAACCATCACCACTATCCAGAAAGGGAAACTATTTTTGAAAGGGCCAAATCTGGAAACTATATTCATCCATAAGCAAAAGTACAAAATCAAAGACCAACCACGAAGCCATCATCATGTCTATATTTAAGCATGATCACACTTAATCTGTGAAGCAAACTGCTCTTTCTCGCTCTTATATACCATTAACATTAGTTTTTAATATAGGATTGCCAAATATTTTCTACATAAACACCAGACATGCATAATAAAATTACATTAATCAAAAGAGATACACATCTGTGCTCACACATACTCAAAAGCTGAAAGTTTGCTTACAAAAACCGTTATGTATAATTTCACATGAAATTCTGAGATTTTCTAAATTTTTAATTTTAGATGGATTAAAGATGTAAATATAAAAATAATATGCTGTGAATATTATGGAAAAAATATATTACTTTGAGGTATATGATATTACCATCAAAAAGAGAGAAATTCCAGAAGGCATGTAAACAAGGTTAACTAACAACAAAATAAAAAACACAATACGGTAGGAAAAAATTAACCTGTGACACATGAGACATTAAACAAAGAATGACAATAAAATAAGAAGAAAAAAAAAATAAACAGTATTAAATTGGGCAAAAAAAAAATGACAATGTGATCTACCTTACTAGGAGATATGCAAATACAAATTACAACAAAGATAAATAATTTTCCCCTTTCAGATGGGCAAAAATTAAAGACTTAATAGTATCCTGTACCAGAAAAAAATAAATGCTCTTAAACAACATAAGCAAAACTATGAATGACTAATACCTTTGTTCAAAATATTTTGGCAGCATCTACTAAAATAAAATTGCATCTACTCTTTACCCAATAACCACACATTTTAAAATCTAACCTATAAAAATAAACACCACGGTTACAAATGTGTACAAGGGCATATATCGCAGCATTGTTAAAATAGGAAAAAATAAAAATAAAATCACTAAAGGTCAATTAAAAATCTATCAAATGGGAAATGGCTTAATAAGCTACACAGTTACTTTGAACTAACGAATATAGGTACATGCTCATATGCATACAATAATATCTGAGCACCTCTTATATGCCTGACACACATACAGCTGTGCAGAATAGGCAGGATTTGTTAAGTTAAAGAAAGCAAGTTACTAAGTAATATATGCAGTATGATCCTATTTGTTTTTATAAAAAGGGTTGAAAAAAAAACTGCATTTATCTGATTATTCATGTTTGAATACATATACCTAGAAAAGGTTAGACTTCAAAATGAAAACACTTATTTCATTAATAGGAATGAAATATTAACTTTTGCTTTATAACCCTCTGCGTTGTTTCAGTTATTACAATGAGGCTGTGTCACTTTTCTAATTAAAAATAAATAAATAAATAAAAGACCATCTGCTGTTTCCAAATGGGTACTTTCACAGTAAAACGGAACACCCCAAGTACAAAGTTCACGTTTTATACTGACACCCTCTAATCTGTCACGTTTCTCCACAGATCACCTGTAACAAAGGCCTTCCTGCATCAGACTAGTCTCAGAACTGAAGTGAGAATAACAAACTATATTTAACAACTGTGGAGCAACAAATCCACTGGGAAAAACAGTATTTTGACATTTTAAGATACGTAGACTTCCAAACAAAGGGAAGCTGAAAAATTATCTTTTGTTCATAGCATCAAAGACTATTTTAATTTTATTCATCAAAATGGAGATGTTCACGTTCAGCTCATTTGGGAACTCTCAGGGAAGAACGGAGTCTTCACATGAAACCCATTCTCCGGCTTCTTGAGGACGCTTAGGTACTCAGTTGGTAGTACGTTAGATGTCAAATTCATGAACTTAAAAATAGCGGGTCCTTTGTCAATGCGAGTATTATTGTAAAATTCATCAAATGTTTTCCTCAAGGAATTCAGGCTAAATAAAAATGTTCTTAATTCAAGGATATGAGACTTTTTCCTTTTTTCTTTGATAAGTGAGAAATATGCATCATGTTCTATGAGAGATATGTGAGAAAAGAAAGAGAAAAGCTAGACAAAGGGACACCCTGTTGTGAATGGATGTCAACACTATGAAAATATTCAGCTCCCAGAGGCAGTGTGAACCGCTTCGCTGGTAAACCTTATTACGTGAATAGGGGACAGTACTGAAGAGCAACCCTGTCACCCCACAGAGAGGCCTCACACTTCCCTGGTCAGTCGCACATGTAAGAGCTGGGTCCCTGGGTGGCGCAAACAGTTTATAACCAAAAACCCATTGCCACTGAGTCAATTCTGACTCACAGCGACCCTACAGGACAGAGTAGAACTGCACCATACGGTTTCCAAGGAGCAGCTGGTGGATTCAAACTGCCGACCTTTTGGTTAGCAGCCATAGCACTTAACCACTATGCAACCAGGGTTTCCAAACGGTTTATGCTTTAAGACTAACTGAAAGGTTTGCAATTTGAGCCCATCCAGCGGCACCGTGGAAGAAAGGCCTGGCGATCTGCTTCCATAAAGATTATAGCCAAGAAAACCCTATGGAGCAGTTCTACACTGTAACACATGGAGTTGCCATGAGTCAGAATCGACTCAGTGGCAATGGATTTGGATTTTTGGTTTCGGTGGAGAGGCTGACAAATGGATGGGATGGGTTCTATCTGATAAGCAAAAGCAAAATAAAAACTGACCCTAAGATCAAACAGACAATAGATAGCAACTTGAAAGTTAGGAAATTTAGGGGGCAGTGAGTTTATGTTAATGGTGGAGGAACAGCTCCAAAAAGGAGGGTGAGAATGGTTGCACAACTCAAAGAATGTAATCGATGTCACTGCTTTGTACATGCAGAAATTGTTGGATTAGTGTATGTTCTGCTGTGTATATTCTCAACAACAAAAATAAGATAAATTAAAAAAAAAAAAACAAAAAAAGCCTGACCCTAAATCAGAAAACGCCAGGCCACTTCATATCCAGTATTATTTAAATATGATTTCCAGAAAGAAATCTTACCTATTAGACTTTCTCTTTCATAACCAGACATCAGATAGTACTACTAATCAATTTCCGTATTTTTAAAAATGAACACTGAAAAAATAAGGAAAGGAATAAGACATTTTAAAAAAAACTTACTGCATTGGCACGCTGATCCCAATCATGTTTGTCATCTGACAAAATTTCCCTGATTTTATTTAATGTTTCTTCAAGTTCTCGACTAGAATAGATCTTAAAGAAAAGATTCAGAATTATAACAACATTTCTTGACATAAACAATATTAAAATTATGCCCTGATTAAAAAAAGTTCAAGTAATAAGGTTATTTCCCACTCTAGCACTATTATTATTTTGTAGACAGAAAATACAGTATAGACAATATTAAAAACTATTCTGTCTTTCTACCTTACCTGTTGCCCCTTTTGCTATTTTTCTCCTCAGAAGTAACTTCAAATATGCTCTTAAAATGCTTTGAAATTCAAAAACAAGATGCAAACCCCCAAGTAATTAATAAAGACGGGCCTAATTTCTCAAGACGACTTCAGGTACATAACACAGCTTATCGTACTCATACCCTTATTACAAAATACTGCCAAAAGGATGTTATTTTTAGCACAGATTTTTTTCCCTCCAATGTTCTGACAGGCTGTAGCCAGGACAGCCCCATGCTTTGTCTCCTCTGGAGCCATTTGCCAAGCAGCTAGATGCCATTATTCTCTCATTCATTCAACAAATATTCACCTAACAGAAGTGCACCAGGCTAGACAACAGGGAGACAAACCTGAGCAAGAACCCCCTGAGTGAGCACTAATATTACTAGTCTAAGATGAGCAAACCGGGTAACCTGCCCAAGGCTGCACACTAGTGTGGGAGAGCTGGGATTCCAACCCAGGCCAACAGTGAAAGCTGTCCAGGTCAGTACACAGCAGCAGCAGGAGGCCGTCCACAGAGCATGAATCTCTCCCATGAGTGGGCACTGGAATAATGATCACCAAGTGGCAGTGAGGACAGCAAGAACAACAGACCCCCTATCAAATCCCGAGGACATGTGGGTCAGGGTAATAAACAGCCTCCCCTTTAAAGAGCTTCAAGAAACAACCAAGTTTTAACTAAAGCAAGGATGTTGAAGGGACCCTCAAAACATGAGGTTAAGGATTTAGAGGACTTGCTGCTATGAAATAGGTGTCCAGAAGGCATAATGGAAGGTGTGGAACGTTTGGAAGGGGAAGGCCTGGGAGGGCGGTGCGAGGTTAGTTGTAAAGAAGCACTGGATGGATAACTGTGAAACAGCTTTTTTCCCTCCACAGAGTTGAGCAGCCCTTGGCTTCACGGATGCCATGATGGTATCAGTCTGGCAACTCATTCAACAAAAAAAAAGTTCAAGTTCAGTAAGTTTTACCACTTGTTCCTCCAACACTAATCTGGCCCTTATAAGAAAGGCCTGTAAAATACAAAAGGAAAGGGTGTGTTTCGGGGGTTATGTTTTTCCTTTTATTTAAAAAAGTAAATACGTTAAAATAAGAAAGATAGACCCAATCAAGGGATAACAAAATACACTCAAATCAGAGAAGTTTCTAAAGCTTTCCAACAACTTTTAAGATCTAAGTAAATCAGACAGCTTACTGGACAATTTTTCCTTTCACAGAGCTAAACAGGTAATACAGACAGCTGAAAAGAGTCTGCAAAGACAGTCTGTAGGAGTCTCAACTGGTACACCCATCCTACAGAGTAACATCTAATAAGGCTGTAGATTACAGGCATGCAACTGCACTCCTATGTTTACACCCTAAAAAGACTCCAACAAATAATCAAGGATGTACGTACGAGAATCTTCACTGCAGCACGGTGTGGAAGAGCAAAAAGCTAGAAACAACCTAAATGTCCTTCAGAATTGTGGTCTGTTCATACAACAGAATACTATCTATCAATCAAAGTGAATGAACAAGAGTCACACATTTTATAGTGTGAAAAACAATAATGAGTGAAAAGTCAAGCTGCAGAATGCTATTTGCAATACACCATTTATATCAATTTTTAAAACAGACAAATAATACTTATCTTATTTACGCATACATTCACTTTGACTACATCAATTCCTTCTATGCAAATGACTTCCAAATTTCTATTGTCACCCAATCTCCAACATCTTTCTGGACTCAGAACCAGAATCTGAACTAAGTAGAACATTACAATGTAATGTGATTCAACAATATGGATTCAATTTTATTTCACCCTCATTGAAAATATCACTTGAAAAACTAAAAATAACAACAAATGACAGCTTCGTAATAAGAAGTGAAGTATTTTATTCATGTAGTTATTTAAGAAAAAAAAGAATAAGAAAAGCAACAAAACTAATTCTATAGACAGGTACACAAGCCACATTCATGGGAAAGCCACTCCGCTGGGCGCCTTACCTGAATAGAAGGAACGTCTGTGAAAGCTTTTATAAAATCATCTTCATCAACTGCTCCAGCACCTCCTTCCTTAGAAGCACCTGCTAATTAAAAGGAAATTTATTTTTTGACATCGATTTTAAATATTTTAACACCAAGGACAAAATAAAAATATAACCTTTTCAACATTAACAAAGGCATAATTTTGAGGGACATTCTATTTTATAAAAAAGCATTACTTCTTCAATACTCATCTAACAATCCTTTACAGTAAATTCTCTCTGTAAACAGAGCTGATGTTGTTTCTGCCCCTTGACTGACTCCTAGCTGATACAGGTGGTACTTAACTTTCTAACTCTACGTAGATATATTACTTCATGTTAAGAATTTAATACTCAAAATGGACTTCAGCTACACAAGGCATACATTCCAAGGGTCAATGAACTTAAAAACCTCTCAAACATACTCCCAATCAAGCTTTAACATCTGCCAAAGGACATATTCATACTTGAAAATTGGATTTAAAAAATTAACATCATCATAATAAAAAGTACATAGCATTTCCAAAGGTAGGTAAAAAGCTCCTCATCTTAAAAAACAAAAACCCTTGAAGACTTATATGTGAGATTTAACACCAGTAAGAGATGGACTGCAGAACAGCATAACAAAGTTGTAGGGCAATATAAAAGGACAAATTAAAAGTAAGAACAATAAATTTAATGATCTGAAAAGGGAATGAAGGCACTTGCTATAGAAAAAATTCAACAATTATAAGGGTAAATAAATTACAAAGCAATTACTTAGATGTTTAAAAAAAATCAATATAATTTTTTAAAATATTAAAAATAAGCAAGCGTGCACATGCACACACACACAAATATTCCAAATCACTTGGAGGTATTTTCATAAGTGGACTAATTTTTTTTTACAGCGACATGTGGATGAGGATTGACACGGAGATGCTTGTGAGGGTGCCTGGGGCGGGGGGTGGGGGGGCATGGCCCGAAACAAATGCAGAAGGTGAGCATTATTTGCATAAAAACACCACATTACTGCAAGAAAAGAGTGTGCACACCAAGAGAAGTATTCAGCTAATGTAAGCTTGAAAGCAGAAGCACAAGTACAGGCTGGGCTGAAAGGAAGAGAAACGCTGGCTTCCAACCTGACTATGGCTCCCTCAAGTATGACCGGGTAAACAATCACATTAGAGGGTCACTGGGCTAGAACACAATACAAGAGCTTTGCGCAGTTGTCTAACCATTCTAGAACAGGGGTGTTATGGACTGAATTGTGTCCCCCACAACCCCCTGCCCCATATGTTGTAAATCCTAACTTCTATGCCTGTGTTTATAATCCCGCTTGGGAACGGGCTGTCTTTGTTATGTTAATGAGGCAGGATTAGTGTAGGGTGTTCTTGACTCAGTCTCTTTTGAAATATTAAGGAGATTAAACATAAGCTAACAAGTGGAAATGGGTGAAGAGAAATGACAACATGAAGATTCCCCAGTAGCAGAAGCTCAGAAGAGACAAGGACCTTCCTCGGGAGCCAACAGAGAGGGAAAATCTTCTCCTGAAGATGGCACCCTGAATTTGTTTGGACTTCTAGTCTCCTAAACTGTGAGAAAATAAACTTCTGTTTGTTACAGCCACACAGTTGTGGTACTTCTGTTACAGCAGCACTAGATGACTAGGAGAAGAGGTCAGAAATTTTTTCTGTAAAGGGTAAGACAGCAAATAGTTCAGACTTTGCAGGCCATTTGATCTCTGCTGCAACTGCTCAACTCTGCTACTGCAGCATGAAAGCAGCCAGACAGTGTGTAAATCAATGAGTGAGGCTGTGCTCCAATACCTCTTACTGACGGGACAGTGAAATTCTAATTTCACATAGTTTTCACATGGCACAATATGTTACTCATCTTTTCAATATTTTTAACCATTTAGAAAGATTAAAAAAAAAAAATCTTAGCTCACAGCCAAAGCAAGAATAGACAGTTGGCTGGATTTGGCCCTTGGACAATAGTTTGCTGAATCTTGTGCTACAACTTCCCGCGGGGCGGTACATGTGTGTATGTGAGTGGGTGAGGTGGGGGAAGTAGAGAGGGTATTGCCACTCAGGAGACGTCATGGTTTCCAGTGTGCTAGAATGACTAGAGTGGGCACATTGCAAAAATTCCAAATATTACTTTAAGAGGTTCTGCCGTTCCTTAAGAAAAGCATCTTAAGTATCCAGAGAAAATTCCATTCTACTTAGCCGTTAACTACTTATAAGGTGAAGTGCTGGATACAAAGGTAATAGGTTTCAGATACAGAAGCAAGGAGAACCAAGTTCCAGACCGGAAAGGGATGAGTTCTCCTCAGGTTACAGTGAGGACATTGGCACTTGAGAGAAGGATAAATGATAAAGTAATAAATGGCAGTAAATAGGGAATGAACCGTAAGCAAACTCACACAAAATTCACAATTTTTAAAGAGAGTTATACTAATGAAGTAGCCCTGGTAGTGCAGGTTAAGAGCTCGGCTACTAACCAAAAGGTCGGCAGTTCGAATCCACCAGCTGCTCCTCGAAAATCCTATGGGGCAGTTGTACTCTGTCTCATAGGGTCGCTTTGAGTCAGAATCGACTTGACGGCAATGGGTTAGGTTTTGGTACTAATAAAACCATCTTGAACTAAAAGAGACAGAGGCAGTTTAAAATGATAAGAGCCTTCTGAATTCCCAACCTTCTAAGAGAAACAGGCTGAGAAAGATAACTCAGCTGCAAGCACAGGACATTTCTTATACAAAAGCAGGAAAGGTCTTAGAGGGAGAAAAGAATACATTTTAATGAGAGATATTACAGAATACCAAAATAAATGGAGCAATATTCCACATTCATGGACAGGAAGACCCAGCATCATAAAGATGTCTGGTTTCCCCAAAGTAATGCAGTAACAATCAAACCCCCAACAGAGTTTCATTAGAAATTTGCCAAGATGATTCTAAAGTTCATGTGAAAGACACTGGACCAAGACCTGTTAAGACACGGCTGCAGAAGAAGAGGGTGGGGGCAAAGGCTGGCTTACCTTACTAGATATCAAGGCTTAAAAAGCTATAATAAAATAATTATGACAGGAGGCGGGGCCGCGATGGCAGAATAGTCAGATGCTTCCGATGGTCCCTCTTACAACAAAGACCCGAAAAAACAAACAAATCAATTATATATGACAATCTAGGAGTCCTGAACATCAAAGGCAAAGTTGAGGAATTGGACTGAGTGGCAGGAGGAGGGACAGATGGTTCAGAAGCAGCGAGGAGCTGCCAGACCTGACATGGCGGAAACCGCTCCTTGCAGGCTGGATGGGCTCACATGAGCAATGAGGCAAGCAGTGGCGACTGGGACGCATTTTCCACATCGAGACAGACTGAGTGGCGTAGAGTATACTCGAGCCTACAGAACCAGTGGACAGCGGTGCTCAATCAACAAAAAGTAAGTACATGCATCTAACCTACCTCACAGATCAAAAAACACCCCATATGGGAAGAACCTCTCTTCCATTTACATGCTCCCTTACTGCTCTGCACCAAGTCCCTGGCCAACTTCAGCAACCGCCACATCCCCTGGGCCAGAAGTAGGACCTGTCACGCACCCTGAGCCATTTTCTCGACCTTGGAGAGGTAACAAACTAAAAATAGGAATAAATAATCTGCCAGCTCCCCTAAGCTGGGAACTCAGGGCAGGCACAGCTCCCTGGGCACAGGGATGAGGGGTCCACAGACTTTGAATGCCTTTCACCCCTGCATAGACTCATGTGGGCCCATTTCAACAGCGTAGGCCCTCATTAGCACAGTACAACAGGGTATATACCTGAAGCCTAATTTCACTGTATCAGGTATATGCTAGAGTGGCAGGTTCATGACATTTGATACTGCTCTGCCCATTAAGCAGGGTCTTCACCTACCCATATCAGGGGCCTGAAGACTGGTGGCTCCACCCACACCACCTAACCACCCTCAAGAAGGGTCCAAGAATAAGTGGTGCCTGCCAGTCCTTACAGCCAACAGCACTGGGTGCCCACAGTCCAGCTGTAGAACCCACCCACCTACGCGCTATAGGGAACAGGGAGACGCTTTCTTCCCAGACACTCAGGGGCAGCCGTCACTTCCCTGCCTTACTCAGTGCATGAACCCCTACTGCAGCCGGATACCCGTGCCTTTACACCAATCACCCCTGTCCATACAGGACTGCAGGTGAGAGCCTGCACCACACACTTGGTGACCGACTACCTGGACACCTGAGCTGAATCCATACAAGAAAAGTAAACAGACTCCTGGGCTAACATACCTAGTGACAGATCTAACCACCCGGTGACAGGACGTTAGAGCTTCAAAGGTGCCAATAATCAAACTAGCTCACACGAGCAGCTTATTTGGGCATATCAAAACAAAACAAAACAAAACAAAACAAGAAGCTAGGACACAATAAGCAAACATAGAATAAATAAATATAATAACATACTGATGGCTTAGAGACGACAGTCAATATCAAATCACGTTAAGAGGCAGACCATGACGGCTTCAGCAAGCCCCCAAACCAAAGAATCAAGAAATCTTCCGGAGGAAGGAACTTCTTGGAATTCTGTAGAACACAGCAGAACTCTTCAAGATACCAGGAAGGAGACCAGGCAAAACACAGAACAAGCCAAGGAACACACAGACAAAGCAAGAGAGGAACTTAAGAAGATTACTGAAGAGCACAATGAGAAATTTTAACAGGCTGCAAGAATCCATAGAGAGACAGCAAACAAATCCAGAAGATTAACAATAAAATTTCAGAATTAGACAACTCAGTAGAAAGTCACAGCAGCAGAACTGAGGCAATGGAAGTCAGAATTAGTGAGATTGAAGATAAAGCACATGATACTGACTTATTTGAGAAAAATCACATAAAAGGATTTTAAAAAATGAAGAAATCCTAAGAATTATGTGGGACTCTATCAAGAGGAATAACCTACGAGTGACTGGAGTACCAGAACAGGGGGGAATAACAGAAAATACAGAGAGAATTGTTGAAGATTTGTTGGCAGACAACTTCCCTGATCTCGTGAAAGATAAGAAGATATCTATC